CATATTGGCACATTTGGGAAAACCTGAATCTGAGAGCTTCCAGGTTTTCCTCACCCAAAAGAAAGTTAAAGTCCTTGCCCATCACCCACATGTCCATCACCGAAATCAATCAGGTACCCTCCAGAACAGAAGATACCTCTTCTCAGCACAACTGCAGGGCAAAGCGGCCTTGACTTTCTGGAAAGAATGTTATTTTGACTACATATCATCTTCACTCCATACAATCCCCCCTCCCATTTTCCCACAGTAGAATTTGTGGTAGGCCTGAAGGCTTAAAAGTAAAAGATGGCTTCCAGGTCTGACATCAAGTACCTTTGGTAGCAGTCAGAAAGTTATGAGCATCTATCTTCCTATTGGCATTTCAGGTTTTTATAAGCATACATGGGCTTTTTGAATTTTTACTTTGCTTTTTATCTTTAAAAGTAGACCAGCTGGCTGAATGCTGATTTATTTCAACCCCCTGCTGGACTTCAGTTGCTTTCTTTTTTTCTTTGATTTATAACTTTCATTTTCTGTATGGAAACAGGACATGCTTTTGGACGGTGAAGTGCTTTCATTGGATTTACATTGGACTTTTGCATCTTTTTAATTTGAAAAATACTTGGAGTTTATTTCTTTTTAATTTTTATTTTAATCTCCAATTGAAATATCCAGAAAATACCTTTCCTGTTTCCTTCTGCTTCAGGCTGCTTATTCTCTGGTTGAGCTTCATCGAACAACAATATTTCAGAGTACAGATAAGCAGTGGCTGAAATCTGAGAAAAGATCTTTTGGCAACATGCAGCTTTTAATTGAAAACTTTTTTAAAAAGTTTGATGACATGATAATGATCATGGAAAATATCCGGAGGCATTTAGCTTTGGAGGAATTTGATTTGAAAGCTGTAGTGTAGATCAAAGAGATATCAACTGTACAGACAGGGAATTAAATTGATTCCATACATCTCTCTGAACTTTAAATTTGTATTTATTTACCATAGCAGAAGCCTGACATGGAGAAGTGGCAAATTGGTTTTTCTTAAGAGGACAAGAGAGATTAGGGAATGGATTTATTACTCTTAATTGCAAGCCACTTTTATCTGGACTTTGTTGTAGAGATTGAATGTATTATATTTAATTAGACAACAATTGATAAGAAAAAGTATCAAAAAACAAATGTGGATATTTGATCCAGGATGAATTATGGTACTTTTCACTTTGGGGAAGATTTGGGATATGCCATGGTAAATTTTCTATGAGTTGATTACAGTAACATTTTGTTAACAGAAAGTTTTGAAACTCTAATCTTGTCCTTTTCATTCTTATTGTTCTCCCTGTTAACTATTTTGTCTTTAATGTAGATGACAGGTCAATAGTTTGCATATAGATTTATTTGTTTTTTAAAAATGGGGGGGGCTGTTTCACAAGAGGTGGGAACTAATATTGTAGTAATGTATTAATGAGTATTCAACCAGGGGGAATTATATGTGTATATATGTTGGGTTTTTTTCTCTTCTTTTTTTAATGCCTTGTATGCGTTGTATCTTTTCTTTGTTTTTTAAAATTTAAATTTAAATTTCTTGGAGTTTTGTATTTTAACCTCTTTTTTAAATAAAATAAAAATTTGCTAAGAAGAAAAATCTCTTTAAACTCTTCCCCTCTATTTTCAATAGAACGGGCAGAGGTGGGATTCAGCCAATTTGGATTGGTTTGTGCAAACCGGTTGTTAAAATTTTGCCCAGTTTGGTGAATTGGCTAATCCTACCACTGGCTGGCCCTGCCCTTGCCCATTTTTTGGGCTGTTTTCAAGCCGTTTTTCAGGCCAGTTTGTATGTTCAGTAGTAGTAAATAAATAGAGAGGGAAATTGTACCTCGTTGAGGCCTTTGAGGCAAGTGGCCGGGAGGCAGGGCTGGGTGTGATGAGTGACATCAAGTTGGCCATGCCCACCCAGTCACATGCCCATCTGGCCACACCTACCCAGCCAGTCATTAGGGCAGAGAACCGGTTGTTAAATTATTTGAATCCCACCACTGAGTGGGATTCAAGCTCTATCCACCTCTAACCATGATGTACACAAATAATCTTTCACCTTAACTGCTTCCTTCTAAACACGAACCAAGCTTACCCAGGTTAATTAAAGTTAGCAGCTGAAATGCAAATAATTATTTGGCATTACTGTGACAATCTACAATTGTCACAGTGCCAGGGAAAATTTGAAATATGAAAAAGGCATATCTTGACAATTAAGAGCTGGCATCAAAATCTTTTGTCAGGTAGAGTTGGCCTGAATTTTTGCAGTGTAGCTACATTGCAAACCTGGACAATTTTGTAACGTGTGGACTTCAACTAGAATTCGCTAGCCAACATGGCCATTGCTAAGAATTCTGGGAGATGAAGTCCACACATCTCAAAGTTGTCCAGGTTGGGAAATACACAACCTCTCTGGAGATGTCCTTTAGAATGTGCAAGAGCGTTAACAAATGCCTGCCTGCAACTCAGGATCATATAGTGCTGTAATGGCGAACCTATGGCACATGTGCCACAGGTGGCACGTGTAGCCATATCGGTGGGCACGCGAGCGTTCGGGCCTTCTGGGCTCACTGGAAGTAGGGAAACAGGATGTTTCTGGCCTCTGGAGGGCCTCCGGGGGGGGGGAGGCCGTTTTTGCCCTCCCCAAGCTCCTAGAAAGGCTCTGGAGCCTGGGGAAGAGCAAAAAACGGGCCTACCAGGCCCACCGTGCCATCAAGTGCCAGGAGCAGGGAGGAAGCAGGGGGGTCATGTACGCATGCGCAGGGCACATAGAATTATGGGTGTGGGCATGCGTGCGCGTGACCCCCCCTCCTCCCCCGCTCCTGGCACATGATGGCAAAAAGGTTAGCCATCACTGATACAGTGGCTCTTAAAGAGAAGCTTACATTGCCTTTATATGATCCTGGAAACAGATTTGGCTGCTTTGATGAGTTGCAGTCAGAGCTTCATTCATGCTCCTATATGCACAAAAACACTTTTTCTGACATGAACGAAAGCCCTAGTTTTATTGTTTACTTTCCGGCATTTAAATTTATTAATTCACATTCTGCACTCTGGAGTGACAAAAAAACAGCCTTGATCAATTTTTTGGGGTGTGACATTCGCTGAGGGATTTCACTGGTGCTATTTTAAATCTCTTTCACAAAATTGAATATGCCCAGATCATTCTTTCTGTCTTTATAGGACTCTATAGTTCATAGTCTCTCATGATTGCCACTATCCTTCTTTGAATATATTGCTGAGTCATAGCATAGCAGCACTCTACAGGGTTAGCTCTTGGGCTTATAGTAACCAACAGTTGGCATACTTCTCTTCAATGTCTTATTAGAATTACATATTCAATTCGTAGATCTTGGACCAATGGGATCTCAAGTGCTACTTGGGAAAAGGGGCGGGGTGAACAGTCACTTTCTATATCATATATAAGCAGAAGTCAGGAGCTTGCCATATCATTCTTCAATAAATACACAACTATTTCATATTGCCTATATTTAGCTTTGGTTGAAAGCTATCAAACACCTTACAAAAAGCAAGAAGCAAGATAATATTAGGAAGTGGCTCAGATAAACACTTCCCTGATTTACTGGCATATAAGAATGAAGGGTAGGGAAGCACAATCAGAGTTTTATGTTATTATTGCCTATTGCAATGCAGTACAGTTTTTGTCTTCCTGTGGAGTTAATTTGGTCTACCAAGTGGGCTAAGATACAAGCAGATAACACAACCTTGTGGGATGAGCATGTCAAGAAGAACTACATCAGGATGCCAGGATCAGTACGCTGATGACACCCAGCTGTACATCTCCACCCCAGACCACCCCAATGATGCCCTCAAGGTGATGTCCTGGTGCCTGGAGGCCGTACGGATCTGGATGGGGAGGAACAGACTCGGGCTCAACCCATCCAAGACCGAGTGGCTGTGATTTCCGACGTCCCGATATAGTCAGTTAGCGCCATCACTGACTATTGGGGGTGAGTCGTTGGCCCCCACGGATGGGGTTCGCAACTTGGGCGTCCTCCTGGACTCACAACTGTCTTTAGAAGAGCATATGGCGGCCGTGGCCAGGAGGACTTTTTATCAGGTTCACCTGATTTGCCAGTTGCGTCCCTTTCTGGATCGGGACTCGTTACGCACGGTCACTCATGCCCTTGTCACCTCACTCCTGGACTACTGCAATGCTCTCTACATGGGGCTCCCCTTGAGGAGCACCCGGAGGCTCCAACTGGTCCAGAATGCGGCCGCCCGGGTGGTGATGGGAGCGACATGGCGCTCCCATGTGACCCCCCTCCTGCGCGAGCTGCACTGGCTCCCAGTGGTCTTCCGGGTGCGCTTCAAGGTTTTGGTTACCACCTTTAGAGCGCTCCATGGCTCAGGACCAGGGTACTTACGAGACCGCCTTCTGCCATCAGTAGCCTCTCACCGACCAGTTCGCTCCCATAGAGAGGGGCTCCTTAGGGTGCCGTCGGCCAAACAATGTCGACTGGCGGCCCCCAGGGGGAGAGCCTTCTCTGTGGGGGCACCTGCCATCTGGAACGAGCTCCCCCCGGAGATACGGAGGATCCAAGACTTACGCATCTTCCGCCGCGCCCTAAAAACGTTTTTATTCCAACAGGCTGGTCTGGCCTAACTCTCCCTTTTAAATTGGGTTTTAAATGTTTTATATAAATTGGATGTCTTAAATTTGTTTTTTGAGCCCAAATTATTTAATCTATTTTTAATAGCTTTTAACTTTTGTATGTTATTTGTATTTTTATCTTGGCTGTTCACCGCCCTGAGTCCTCCGGGAGTAGGGCGGTATACAAATATGATAAAATAAATAAATAAATAAATAAATAAACAGAAATGATGAGCAGAATCAGAGGGTGATGAAGGAGCCAGATAAAAGGATTTTAAAAATGCTTTGACAAGGCTAGATAAATTCATAAACATGGAGAATAAGATGAGCTAAAGGAGAGTCTGACATACAAATATACTATTCTGTTGCTTTTCAGTATGCGACCCATCAGTGGTAGCACCCATTTTTCAGCACTGAATTATGGAGACTGAAACTGTGCCCTCACAGGAAGCTTCCCTGACTGTTAATGAACAGGTATGTCTGTCTGTCTGTCTGTCTCTCTCTCTCTCTCTCTCTCCTTCCTTCCTTCCTTCCTTCCTTCCTTCCTTCCTTCCTTCCTTCCTTCCTTCCTTCCTTCCTTCCTTCCTTCCTTCTTTCTTTCTTTCTTTCTTTCTTTTTTTCTTTCTTTCTTTCTCAAATTTACATAGCCACCATCTCATGGTGTGTGGCTGTGGGCAGTGTACAACAGTCCAATAATACAGTAGATACATAAAACAGTCATTATCTAAAACTGTTATATAAAAATTATTTTAAAAAATATTTAAAACCGGGAAGGAAAAAGTAATACAGAAAAAGAAAATAATAGACGGAGGGGTGTTAATAATAACCCCTCATTTATCCACCTTATATCCAGTCTGACAGCACTGTCAACCAAGATCTGCAGCCTGGTTTTCAGGCAGAAAGTTTTCCAAAACTTCTCTGGGCGAGTTTTGGTCTGCATAGTCAGGCTGCTCCTGGCTTCCCTGTTTAAGAATCCAATGCATATCTCCCTAGTTACTTCCCTTTGCTTATTGTATTGATGATTTGGAGCCCTGATGTCCCCATATGCTTTGCTATCTTTTCTCAGGTGATTGTGATGTCAGGACATGAGACAATTAGGGTACTAGAAGTGGGAGTAGATGCTCCAGTCTCAATAAAAAATGAAGGGAAAACGCTGAAAGCAACAGATGCAGCAGCTGGAGGAGAGGATTCTGCAAACTGCCCTCCAGAATCAAGTAAAACAGGACAGGAAAGGGTACAACAAAACCCAGAGAAGGCATGCAGAGAATCAAGCGGTAAGTGGCACTTCATATGTTTCCATTTATTTGGTCTTCTCCGTCCCCACCTTGTTACCCAATCAGAAAATCAGAAAAGTAAAGATAGAAGCCATATGGGACAATTTCATAAGAAACATAGAACAAGACTGTGTGAGGCTCTCACAAAAGTTTAACAAAGGTCATTTATAGGTATCTGTATTCAGAAAAAAAAACACCCTCCTTCTCTTTGGTTGCTAAAATGATATGTTGGAATAGGGAGAATCCGTAGACCTCAAAAACACATAAGCTGAACCATGGAGGTCTCCTTAGGTCCTGCTTCCACCTACTGAAATTCCCCATTTTATTCTTCTCCAATAGCCGAGGGATGCTTCCATATAGAGTGCTCTGGAGCTAGCCATCAGCAAACATTCTGCAGCTCTTCTTTTGCAGTAAGACAGAAGTAATGAGAAAATGCAGAAGGGCTATAAATGTGAGACATCAAGATATCTTCTTCCCCAACCTTAAATTATATGACTGAGGCAGGGAGATTACAGAATAAAAACTTCTCTGGAACAATCCGGAGATTCATCATGAGAGGCAGGAAAAAAATACAGATAAGATGAATAGAGAATGGTGTACCTAAAGCCTGTGGTCAGGTGTCCCATTTCTGGGCCTTTCCACATATTAAGTGTGCAGAAAATAATAATGGATTGAGCCTGATAGCTGCAGTATTGGATGGTCCAAATTTCAAACCTCAAATAACAATTTATAGGCAGTGGACCAAGCAACAACAGAGCAGAGAGGTTGAAGAAATGACAGGTGGGCAAATGAAGAAGACAGCTGGTTGGCAGTGAGGCAGGATCAGTCGAGTGACATTTTTGGCAACAAGAAGTTACTTGGATTAGAAAATGGTAGTGGAGGATGCAGGGGTGAAATTAAATTACCTTCCCTATCGGCTTGCAAATGTGCATGCGCAGAGGCTTAAAATCATTGCAAAAAAGCGCCGTCATGACGTCGGCGCGGGTGGGCGGAGCCTCCCGCAGCCACCGCTACCGGTTCACCCGAGCCGGATAGAATTGGCTGGATTTCACCCCTGGGAGGATGGTGTGTTTATCTCATGACATGATTTCTTGACTACAAATATTCTATTCAAAGTGTTCAGTTACTGGGCTGAATTCTGGTTTCTACTTTTGAAGTCAGATGGATATGAGATGGATGGTGAGATGTCAACTTCCTGAGTATTGGGCTTGCATGTAGTGTTGGGATCTGTGGCTCTGACAAGTGTTATGTTCCTTAATCTGCTGCTGGCCTTAAGAAGAGTCCCCTTGGAAATTCTCTGTTCCATTTTTGTGTGTAAATATTGCATGTTTTTAAAAACCATTTAACACTCTCTGAAGGAGAAACATCATCAGATTTATTTTAAGCAACCCATCTAGTTCAGAACCTATCCAGTTTGCAATGGGAAAAAATCATGATCACAAATAACTGTGAGAAATGTGAGCGTTAAAAATCCTTTTTAACAGGTAAAACTTTTTCCAGAGGAAAATCAAGATAGGAAATAGAGAGTAGGGAAGGAACGGTTGATGTAATTTTATTTGTGGAGTCCTTGACACTCTAGGAGCCTGGTTGCTTGCTTACAGACATTTCATTACCCAATTAGGTAACATCATCAGTGCCTCTGTTATACATGCTTTCTGAAATGTTTGATGCCCATATGTGGTTCCAATTGAAGAGAATATCTGTAGGTCAGAGTTGTTTTTTGTGCTCTCTAAACTTGGTTGCTTGCTTGCAAATGATCAGTAAATCATGATACCTACAGAAAACAAGATATTCTCTTCTATTGGTCACATAGTCCTTTTTCTGTCTGTCACTTTCCTTGTTCAAGTAGTTCTTGTAGTAAGAATTTCCTTCTCGAAGGATTGTTTCACATCATGCTTGCTAATTATATAAACTCTTGCACATGTGTACCCATCATACTGTTCCTTTTTGGAGCATGCAATGCTATAAAAAGCACAAAAAATCTAGTAATAAACAAGAAGAAAAAAAGGTAGTGTGGTGTGGTGACCTAGAGATTAAGACAGCTGCCTCACACTCAGGCGGTTGAGAGTTCAATTCTAGGCAGCAACAGATGTTTCTCTATCAGGGCACAAAGAGAAAATATCTGCTGCAAACTCCACAGAGACATTAGGAAGGGCATCTGGCCAGTAAACACTCAGCTCCGTTCAGTCACCCCAACTCCACCCCGATAAAAAGGATTACACGGTTGTGAAAAGAAAAAAAGGAAGAAGAAAAAGAAATTAAAGGTATGAGATTAGAAAATAAAATCCAAATAAATCTAGTTCACAGCTATACCATTATAATTTCCAAACTTTTCCATGAAACAGTGTCAAATTTTTTATTAAGCCTTCTCTCTAAACTTACCGTACTTAAGATTTTATTTCTATTATTTTACTCGTTAACCCCCTATTAACTTCATGTTTATATAAAATATATTTCTAGCCTACCCACTTAGCTATATGCGTTCTCTAAATCAACAAATGCACAGTAAACTTTCATTCATAATATTCCTTCAAAACCGGCTAAACAACAAAATTTATGTATCCATTTATTGACACATACAAATACACATGTATACAATTTAGAGACCGCCAAACTCCCAACATCTCTGACCAATATACTATTAAAAAAAAATAAAAATACAAAACCCAAGAAGGAATCATGAACAGCCCCAAAGTGACATTGAAAATAAACATAAAGCAGCAATTTTAAAAAAAATATCCAGCAGGGGTTCAACTATAAATTCTGCCCTAATGCCTGGGAAAATAATTAGGACTTCAGTAGCTTCCTCAGCATCATTAGGGTAGATAAATCAAAATGGTTGCATAATACATGTAATTAGAGAAGGAAAAGCTAGACCAGGGGTGTCAGATTGGCAGCCACACCCATACCAGCTCCCTGAAGGGAAAAAGTGTCACAATACATCACGTGACGACAACGTGATGCGGCGAGTTTGACACCTGTAGGCTAGACTAAATGATCAGCCTTAGTCATAATAGCATTCTTTATTAATAGTGGTAATTTTGAAACATTTTGGCCTGCATGCCATAACAGCAACCAAAGGCCAGCTTTGCCTAAATCATGCTCGTGCTTTCCTACATAAGCATTCTATGGATCTCTGATCCAGATACTACTTGCCAGCAGACAATACAGTGACAGTAACAGAATTGGGGGGAACCTTGGAGGTCATCCAACCCCATGCTCTTCATACTATACTATACTATACTATACTATACTATACTATACTATACTATACTATACTATACTATACTATACTATACTATACTATACTATACTATACTATACTATTACCAATACCAACACCAACACCAACACCAACACAAATACCAATACCAATACCAATACCAATACCCTGTTTCCCCCAAAATAAGACATCCCCTGATAATAAGCCCAATCGGGCTTTTGAACGCATGGCAATAAGGCCAAGCGCTTATTTCAGGGTTCAAAAAAATATAAGACAGGGCCTTATTTTCGGGGAAACGTGGTATAATACTATTTTTGATAAATGGCTATCCAATCTCTTCTTAAAATCCTCCAGTGACGAGGCACCCACAACTTCCGAAGGCAAGCCGTTCCTCTGGTTAATTGTTCTCACTGTTTGGAGTTTTCTCCTTAATTCTAGATTGCTTCTCTCCTTGGTTAATTTCCATCAGGAGTGGGTTCTACTTACCTTTACTACCGGTTCGCAGCAGGGCCGCACACATGTGCAGAAGCGTTTTGATAAGGTCAGGGTTGGTGGGCGGAGCCTCCCGCTGGTTTTACTAGCAGTTCTATAGAACCGGTGCGAACCGGGGGCAACCCACCACTGATTTCCATCCGTTGTTTCTTGTCCTGCCCTCTGGTGCTTTGGCAAATAAGTTGGCCCCCTCTTCCTTGTGGCAGCCTTGGAAGACTTCAAGTATTGAACGATGTAGTAGACTGTTGCCTACATCCTGCCAATTTGAGATGCATGCAGTCTATTGATCCATGTTCAGGATGTCCTCTTCATTCAATGAAAGTAACTTGGTTTGATATACAATATCCAGGATGATAGTTGAAGAGGTTAACAGAGTAACATGTTTTCTCTTTTTTAAGGTGAAGTCAAGGCATTGCCTGAAATAACACCTGTGCCTATCCCAGGAATTGTGCCATTTAGCCAAGTGACAAGCCAACCAACACCAACTTTAACTCCTGTCACAGTGCAAGCGGCACCACAGGTAACTACCCTACTACAGTAGTTTTAATATAAACAGGAGGGAACTCTTGTTCAATGAACGAAGGAAATACTGTAATGCAGTCAATTTCTCTAGTGGAGTTGGGAATTCCCAGTGCCCTGTGGAGCAGCTGAATATGGGCAGGATACTTAGGCAGAAGGAGAATCTTTACTAAAATCCCACAGTGTTATGGAACTTAGAGGTTCTCACATTTAAGATACTTTTTGATGTTATAGATCAAGAGTCTCCAATCAAGACTTGTAGACTTCAACTCCAAAAATACTTCAGCCAGACATGCTGGCTGAGGAATTCTGGGAGTTGAAGTCCACAAATCTTAAAGTTGCCAAGGTTGGAGAGCCCTGTTACAGATAGCACTCTGGAATGTGGTCTCATTTTTTTTAAAGGATGCAGTTGACAAAGCTTTGTAGAAATCAAATGCACCCTTCCAGTGTTTTCTTGGCAGGCATTTGGGTGGAGCTTTTTTAAGAGTGCTGCAAGATACACAAATGCAACTTGACATCATTAATCCCTTATATGAGAGCCCCACCCAACAAAACTAAGGAGTTAAAGAGAGACTTGCCTTGTTTATCTTCTATAAAGCCTGAATACCTTTTATTCCATACAAGCTCTCATAGAGCAACAGCTGTTTAAGAAAATTAGTGTAAATTGCCTCACAGTTTAGAAATAAAAAAACCGCCTTAGTTCAGTGATATCAAAAAAACACAAAAGAGGAAACTATCCAAATGTGCTGTAGACTATTAGTTTTATTCTCCAAAATAACATATTTAAGAGTGTCAAATACATGAGGTAATGCCCTTTTTTAGCTCTTGGAATGTGATGTGGAGTTTCTTCACTTATTTTGTGGTTCTCCAGAAGAACAAATTTATCCCAGAAAAGGGCTGAAAGGTTGAACATATTGAGACCCATAAAGAGAATAAAACTCATTTTCTACGGTATCTTTTGATTTTTTTTTTCCTTCACTGTCCTGCATCTTATCCTTGTCACATGGAGAACAAAATCATTACCTGTTGGGGGTTTTGATATTATTTGTAGGGCTTTGGAACATAAGGGAATGGATAAAATGCCTTTGAATTCTGATTCATTTAATTGTGATGCAAGCACTGTTATTTTATACAAAGTAATCTTTTTCCCTACTCTGGAAAATCTCAGCTGTTTAGAAAATAATGTATAGGATAACAACAGTGGGATTAAGAATGTGGACAGGCATTGGCGAATGAATGTTTTCCCATTCAGGTGATACACACAGTTTCACAGGCGATACATTAAAATCACCTATCATTGCTTGCCAGGATGGGGAGATTTCTCCTTCCTCGTGCCTCTTCTTGTCAAAATACTTCAAACTGCGGTTGGCAGCTGCAAAGAAAAATTGTATTTTCATTGTCAAATAAGCTTATCAGCTTTGCTCTGAAATAGCAGATTGGAATACATCCTAGAACATTTGGCCTTCGAGAAATTGCTAAACAACAATACCCAGCTTTTCTTATCATTGGCCAAGGCTGCTGGGATTTGTAGTTCACGAAGGAAGGAAGGAAGGAAGGAAGGAAGGAAGGAAGGAAGGAAGGAAGGAAGGAAGGAAGGAAGGAAGGAAAAAAAGAAAGAAAGAAAGAAAGAGGAAAGAAAGAGAAAGAAAGAAAGAAAGAAAGAAAGAAAGAAAGAAAGAAAGAAAGAAAGAAAGAAAGAAAGAAAGAAAGAAAGAAAGAAAGAAAGAAAGAAAGAAAGAAAAAGAAGTAGCTGAAGTGATGAAATGATTTCCCAGCAGGAAGATCTGCTGCCCACCGTTATGGCAAACAAAGCCAGTACTGTTTACAGCATGTATTTTAGATAGCTTGTGAACATTGCAAGGAAATTATTTCCACCTCCCTCTTAGTCTACACCGGGGGTATCAAACTCGATTTCATTGAGGGCTGCATCAGGATTGTGTTTGCCCTTGGGGGGCTGGGGTGGGCGTGGCCAGGGTGAGCATGGCCAGCTTGACATCACGCATGTTGGGGCACCTGTGATGGCCCAAGTGCTCTGCCAGCAAAAACAGGCTCCTGAGCTCCATTTTTGGCCACGATGGCCTCCTGCAGGCCTCTGCCAATGAAAATGGAGCTTGGGGGGGGGGGCGGTTCTTCGCTGTTTCCAGGGTGGCCTCACGGACCAGATCTAAGTATCCCATGGGCCAAATCCAACCTCTGGGCCTTGAGTTTGACACCCCTGGTCTACACTGACCTGTGGGATGACCATGCACCCCAGGGTGCAGTACAGTAGTGCCAGTTTTCTGAAGGATATATCCTTGGCTAAAACTGGCCTGATAACTAATAAATTAGATAACTAGGGTTTACTGTGCTATGCTTTGGACTTTGCATTTCGAGTCAAAAAGGGATTGGGCGAACAGACAGCAGAGACTAATCGATCAGGGCTGGGAATTAAAAACAAAAAAAGATATGTCCCAGGTTCTTTCATGGTTGACTTTGAACCAGCCCCCCCCATTGGAGTGTTACAGAGCTGGGTCACCCAGCTGCTGGCCACGGGGTGGGGGCCAAGCCGCACCCGGCACATCTCAGTCAGGCATCTCCTGGCTGGGCTGGGCCTCCGGTGGACCGGCTGACGTGACTGCTGCACTGATGCTGTCTGCAGTGGCGTTGATTTTGTTTTCCCTTTTTTCTTTTTTACATCTCGTTTGCTTTTGCAGGTCTTGACTCAGGAAAACTTAGCAACAGTTGTGACAGGCGTAATGGTTCCAGCAGGGGCAGTTACTCAACCTCTTCTTATCCCCATCAGTATTGCAGGTCAAGTGGCAAGTCAGCAGGGGCTGGCTGTGTGGACATTTCCTGCAGCAACGGTGGCTGCCCTCCCAGGACTGACGGCTGCCTCTCCTACTGGGGGAATTTTCAAATCACCTATAGCCAATTTGCAAGGTAACCATCGTTTCTTGGAAGGTCACATAGGGGGAGCAAGAGTCTGCGGCACTTGGGCCCTAACCAGAATCAGCCTTAATCTGGGAGGGAGCATGTTGGGAGGCTGATAATCTTTTTGAATTTCAGGAAGGGAGGGAGGGATAGCTCTTTTGCTCTAGGTCAAAGGCCAAGGTGTTCTGGTCCAAAACGGCATGCATCAGACTTCCCCCATTAACTTGAGTGCAGGAACCAGATCCATTGATGGAAAGGATCTGCTTCCCCCTCTGAAATGAATGGGGAGGTCTTTCTAAGTTTTATGGCTGCATCAAAGCCCCCAGGATGTTCCCTTGTAGACCAGCAGTTTCTTGGCTAAATGATGTCACTAAATTCCTAGTCTGTGTGACAGCAGAAAATACAGTGCGGTTTGGTTTCAGGGGCCTGTTATTTATAAAGGAAACCATGGTTCCAGTCAGTATTCTCTGCAAATAACTTTCATTTTCTGAAGACTGGTAGGACAGCAATGCTTAATTAAAAATGTAGAACTAGGATTAATTCCCCAGGCGCTACTTCTTGCTAGCAGTTAATTCACACAAGGAGCCAGTGATGCAAAGTATCCGGGTAGCTGTGGTTACTCTGAGTTGCAACAGCTGTTCCGGCAATGATGGAGCCCAGCCCACCAAGCTGTTGTCTACTTGTTTAGGTGGCCCCTGATTTCATCTTGCATTAGAGAGATAATTTCTAGCATGAGTAGAGAGAATTCCACGGAACTCAAAACCTTCCCTGTCTGTTTCAATATAATTGCTTTGTGTGTGGTGTATCTTTTAACTCCAGCTGGCACAATAGTTCCTCTGAATATGAAATACAGGTAGTCCTCGACTTACAACAGTTCATTTAGTGACCGTTCAAAGTAACCTCACTGAAAAAAGTGATTTATGACTGTTTTTCATGCTTACGACCATCGCAGCCTCCCCATGGTCATGTGATCAAAATTCAGCTGCTTGGCAACTGACTCATATTTATGACGGTTGCAGTGTCCAGCAGTTCACCTCTTGCGACCTTCTGACAAGCAAAATCAATGGGGAAACCAGTTTCACTTAACAACCGGGTTACTAATTTATCAACTGCAGGGATTCGTTTTAACAACTGTGGCAAGAAAAATTGTAAAATGGGGGCAAAACTCACTTAGGAAATGTTTCACTTAGCAACAGAAATTCTTGGCTCAATTATGGTCGTACGTTGAGGACTACCTGTATCCTTTCCCCCATTTTATCTTCAAGGTTTAGTTCTTGGCTCATTAGATCCCATAAATGCTGAGAAGTAATTCTTCCCATTGCTTTCCCATGAGTCAAACCTAGAGCTTATGTGACAAACCTGGAGACTGTCCCTCCCCTTCAAAAAGTACATTTTGCGACGACCCAATATTTAACGCATCTCTTTCTGTCTTGCTCTCGCAGCCACTGCAGTGCTGAACACAGCAGTACAAGCCCCTTTGCAGCCAGCCCAACCTTTCCAGGCACAGCCAACAGCCCAGCCCCGGCCATCCATCCAAACACAGACTGTGTTTCAACCAGCAGCTCAGACAACTCTTTTGTCACAGCCAACCACAACAGCCACTCCACCTGCCGCCAAGCCACTGGAAACTCCAACACAGATCACGGTTCAGCCGGCAGGATTTGCAGGAATAGTAAGACATTAGAAAACCCCTTTCCTTGAAGAAGACTTTTGAGCTACAGGGAAAGCAGGGTTGGGAGCAGACAAACCTTCTATAAATACATTTCTGACCCAACTCAAGGCCTTCCACATCACTTTGATCCTTTCTGATTTTGCCAAAGAAGAAAATCTCATGTACATTTCTGTGACGAATTCAGTACTGAATAAGTTCAACAAATCTAGGAACTGCATAGAATAAGCCTCTGCGCTGATAATGAGAAATCTATTTCTTTGATACATAAAAATGTCCCTGGTATACCGTGTTTCCCTGAAAATAAGACTCTGTCTTATAGTTTTTTTGAACCCTGAAATAAGCGCTTGGCCTTATTGCCATGCGCTCAAAAGCCCGATTGGGCTTATTATCAGGTGATGTCTTATTTTGGGGGAAACGGTAAAATCTGAACCACAATCTATATTCAGTCTTCATTTCAAATGAGGATATGAAAAAATAGAGTGTTTCCCCGAAAATAAGATCCAACCGAAAAATAAGTCCTAGCATGATTTTTCAGGATGCTCATAATATAAGCCCTAGTCAAAAAATAAGCCCCAGTTAAGATTGTCAGCCAGACGGATGCATTTAGTATCGTATGTCCCCGAAAATAAGCCCTAACCGGAAAATAAGCCCTAATGCGTCTTTTGGAGGAAAAGTTATTTTCAGGGAAACACAGGTATGGTATACCATAGTGGTTAAAGTGCTAGACTAGAGCCTAAGGCTCTAGTCCCCACTTCAGTTTCGAAGTCAGCTTGGATGACCTCAGCTCTAATCAGCGTCAGGCTCTACAATATGGTGGCTGAAAAACAAAAACTCTCGTTACATCATGCATTGATAGCTTTGCCGTGTCGACTATAGTGTGCAGTGCAAAACAAGCAAATGCTGCAACAAAGTGAGAAAAATGCTAAAAATAAGAAAAACAAGAATCCAGCCACTCTTTTTTTATTGAAGGAAGCATTGACCTTTGCAGTAACAAATCGCTCCTTAGCCATATTTGAAGACTGGTGCCAAAAATGGCAAGCATTATCCATGTATTAACTTGGAACGAGGTTAGTCAGATTGCATATTTTCAAAGGTAATTTTATTATTTAGATCATGGAACAGGGCAAACTGACCTCCTCAGGAGTGATCAGGCTCCTTGATATAATAAACACTTCATATCTTCAGAGAGTGACAAATGCATATGTAATTCTGCCTTGTGGAAGAAAGTATGAAGGCAGTTGAGGCAGAGAAGATCCCACTTTGCATGCAAATGAAGAATCCTAACTTTTGATCTTCGTTTTCATTTATTGTTTCGCTTTGGTATCTCTTACAGATCAGTGCAGCTTCTCTTGGAGCCCCAACCCAGCTGCTTAGCTCACTAGCTGCCACGCCTGTCATTGCAAACACCATTCCTAGTGTGCAAGGAATAACTGGACAAATCCTGACTAATGCTCAAGGGCAAGTAAGTGCTGTTTCCATTCTGGAAACAGAATTAATGGATTCTGTAGGCCATGCTTAAAGGACACAAGAATGGGGGTTTTTTTTAGTTGCCAAACAAAACATCTGTGCAGTTTATTCATTAATGTTATACAGCCTGCCTTTCCTCCAAAGCTTAAGGCGCATTAGAAAGCATTTTCTTCTCCTGTTTTGATATAGATTGGGCATAGAGATAATTATTAAGCCAAAGTCATCCAGTGAATTTTCATAGTCATGGATGGACTCAAATGGGACTCTGCCTGGTCCCAGTCCTACACCCTAAACTTTATACTATCTTGGCTCTGCTACAGAAATCTTAATGGCAAAACTAAATCCGTGTGGTTTTGATAGGAAAATCTCAGAAGATTAACACACTGCAACCTTGGTGCTTTCCCTTGCCTTTGTCCTCCAGGTTATTGGAACTCTTCCATGGGTAGTGAATCCAACCGGAATTGCAACGGCAACTCCTGCCCCTGCTACATTGCCAGCACAAAATCTACAAGTCCAGGCGGTGACACCTCAGCTGCTTTTAAATGCCCAAGGTCAGATCATCGCCACCTTGGCTAGCACCATCCAGACAGCAACCACAATCAGGAAATCAACCCCCCCAGAATCTCCTGCCAAGAGCGAGGTGAGTGCACAAGCAAAGCTGCTGAGAAAATCACCAGAGGATCTTAACAGCAAAATTACCAAGATGCCCAAAGAGGCACCTATAGAGAGAGTGGGGGGGAGGGGGGATGTGGATTAAATAGAAATGGGGAGCCTACTGCTTTTGATAGATTGTTGAACTAGGAGAAGTCATGGAAGAGCTCCAAATTATTTATTTAACAGAATAACAGAGGTGGAAGGGACCTTGGAGGTCTTCTAGTCCAACCCCCTTCTCAAGCAGGAAACCCTATACCATTTCAGACAAATGGTTATCCAGTCTCTTCTTAAAAATCTCCAGTGTTGGAGCTTCCACAAGTTCTGGAGGCAAGCCGTTACACTGGTTAATTGTTCTGCCAGGAAAGTTTTCCTTAGTTCTAGGTTGGTTCTCTCCTTGATTAGTTTCCTTCCATTGCTTCCTGTCCTACCTTCAGGTGCTTTGGAGAATAGCTTGACCCACTGTTCTTTGTGGCAGCCCCTTAGATATTGGAACCCTGCTATCATGTCACTCCTAGTCCTTCTTTTCATTAAACTAGACATACCCAGTTCCTTCAACCATTCTTCATATGCTTTAGATTAATAAACCAGTTTATCGATCACATTTATACAGCCGCCTATCTCACAAAAAGCCACTCTGGGTGGCATACCTCAATAAGAATAACAATTCTATAAATACAATCCTTATAAAAAATATAAAACAACCGTTATGAAAAATTAAAATATATTAAAAAGCAAGGCACAGTACGAGGCACTTTATTATTTTTACTGCTGAGGAAGAGGAGGGAGGCCAGTGGGATTTTGCATCTCACCTGTCAAATTAGTTAATCAAGCCTGAGGTGTCACAAAATTGGCTGGAAGCAGGAATAGCATTTCCTGTTTTGCCTCAGGCTGCAAAACCTCTTCGCTTGGCCCTGACCCTTGATGACTTGGTAGCTGAATGTGTAAAATATTCCTCTTGTCAAGCGTTGCTTGTGGCATGACATGTGTTATATCTGTGTAGGGTGATCAGTGGGATTTATATGCTAGATATAGCAACACTGGTGCTCAGGTTAGCAACTAAGGCCCATATGCAGAGAGTCCTGGTTGAAATAATATCATCCTGGATTGAGATGAAAACAGAAGTAGTGTTTTGAGAGCCAGCAGACCTAAAATGTCCTTCCTCCAATCCATTTTGATTTCCAGCACCAAGCTCTGGAAAACCTGATCATATTCCTTTTGTAGCTGAAGTTAGTGATGCCTAGCAAAAACTAGCTGATACCTATGGACCATTACTTTATAAGGCTGACAGGCGTGTCCTGCAGCTGAGCTACAATCTCATTGGCTGATCTGATGGCTGGTATTTCAATTGGGAAGTGAGAAGGCTGGCACTGACACTTGAACTAAGAGCTCTTGTAGCATGCACTTGAGAGTCAAGATATGTTAACTTTATTCAAACAGTATAAATCATATAAAATAAACAAAGGTAAATGTATTTCCTACCTGGCAAAATTCTCATTGGCTAATGCACCTTCTTTGACCCTGATTGCAACTGGCATAATGGCTCATTAGTCCATTTTTCATTCGTAGTTCATTTCATTTCATTTCTTTATTTATTCGTTCATCTCTCAATTCATCTCGAACAGGCATCTCTGGGCGACTTGCAACAATTTGAAAAACTCGCACTAAAACTACAAACGATGCAAAATAAATACAGGTAGTCCTTGATTTAAGATCACAACTGAGCCCAACATTTCTGTTGCTAAGTGAGACAGTTGTTAAGTGACTTTTGCTCCATTTTGCAAGCTTTTTTTTTTTGTCACAGTTGTTAAGGGGATCACCGCAGTTGTTAAGTTAGTCGCACGGTTGTTAAGTGAAACTGGCTTCCCCATTGACTTGGCTTATCAGAAGACACACAAAAAGTGATCACATGACCCCAGGACACTGCAGCCGTCATAAATATGAGTCTCTGAATTTTGATCATGTCACTATGGGGATGCTGCAATGGTTGTGGGAAAAACAGTCATAAGTCTCTTTTTTTTTCCAGTGTCGTTGTAATGTTGAATGGTCACTCAATGAACTGTTGTAAGTCAAGGGCTACCTGTAGAAAATTGGCAGCCAAGCTAAATCAACAAAAGCAGTATTAAACTGTTTTGGTCTGAATATTGCTTTTTTTCTGCTCCGTTGCCAGGTCCAACCAATTCAGCCTGCCCCAGCTCTCTCACAGCCAACTGTGGTCATTGCAAGTCCTCCCCCAGCATCCAAACTAGCTTCCACTCCTGTCCCCATCACCTGCTCAGAGACACCAACTGTCAGCCAGCTGGTTTCAAGTAAGCATGTTGGTATCCCTGTGATTCTTGTAGCAGGCAGAGAAAGAAGCTGCCAGTAATGGAGGCTGGTTCATGATCACATGCGTGGAACATTTATGGGAGAAAACCATGAAGGGGGGGGGGGTTTGCCTGATTTCTGTATTAAAGAGGCATTGTTATACACCCCACAGCTGTTCAGAAAAAGGCGGATGGTGGGGACGCCTGCAAGTGTTAAACCAAACCAAAAAAAAAACAAAACCACATACAGTATTACTTTTTTAAAAATGTGTCACACTACTTCTAATAACAAACAGCATGTGCCGAAATGGATAGATTGACGCTGGAACTCCAGGATAAGGAAGAAAGTGACTATTATCTTGTGTGGCACCAATGGTACCAATGGCTGGAAAGGAAAATCAGTACAACTGTAGATGAAAGTAAATAGGGTGAAAGATTAATAGTAGGAGATGAATACAGTGAAGATGCAAGATTATTCTTAGTTTAAACCATTTGAATTATGAGTTTAATACTATTTTCTTATTAATACGTAAAGAAATATATATTCTGTTGATGACAAAAAGCATATATGTAGAATGTTGTGTGGGTTTGTAGGTGGTGGGGTTTTGTTTGTCTTTGTATTGTCTTTATATTTTTGTTTATATTTTAATAATAAAAACATTTTTTTAAAAAAACAGCAGCATACACAGAAAAACGGAGGATTACAACAACACAACATTAATAAACAATATAGGTTGTAATGACACTGACCGACAGAGTGAATACCAAAATCTAACATCTTGCAAATTTTCTCTCCCAGAGCCAGGTTTTATTGCTTTACTCATTATTTATGAAGGCAACCTGCTCCGTAAGATATCTGGGCACCCCTCAGCAGCTTCATATAGATATTAAATAAAAAGTGGGAAAGAGCCAAGCCCTGTGGCACCCTGTCATAGAGTAATTGTAGGCTGAACCTCTTCCACTGACTGGAACCAACCATTCAGTCAGGAAGGAGAATCACCAGCACCTAATCCAAGGAGACCAGTGTGAGATTTAAAGGGATTGATGGAAATGTCCCCCATTTTCAGATCGCAACTCAACTGCTGTGAAATAAAAACTGCCTCCTGCCCAGTGGCATGAAAGATGCATGTGGCTGCAGTAGAAAAGGATTTATAGTGCAATTTAGTCAGAAACTGCAAAATGGAACAAGGGTGTCTTTTTTCATTCTTTCTCCTACCAGAGCCTCAACCTTCAAGTAGTGGAAATGATGAAGATGGCATAAACCTGGAGGAGATCAGAGAGTTTGCCAAGAACTTTAAGATTCGACGTCTCTCTCTGGGTCTCACTCAAACCCAGGTGGGACAGGCATTAACTGCCACTGAAGGACCTGCATACAGCCAGTCTGCTATATGCAGGTAAGCGAGTCTGTTTCCCTGTGCAGATGACTCTGGGTGGAATGCAATCCCTAATAGAAAAACAGTTTGCCCAGTCTTCTTTTAAATCAACACTAGGCCTTCCTCCTTCCCAGTTCTTTATATAGCTCAATATCATCAAAGCAATAAGATGGGGCTATCGTATCTAGGATGCAAAATCCAGATGACCACTACATGGCAGCAAAAGCAGTGGTGGGATTCAGCCGGTTCGCACCACTTTGGGAGAACCGGTTCTTAAATTTCTGAGCAGTTTGGCAAACTGGTTGTTGGAAGAAATCATTAGGGCAGAGAACCGGTTGTTAAATTACTTGAATCCCACCACTGAGCAAAAGAGATAGAATTGTTTGTATATCTTGATTATCATCTAGTGGATATCTAAGTAATTGCAGCCCAAACAGAATACTATAGCCCTAAATATGTGTTGGGCTCAAGCCAGTGGTGAAATCCATTTTTTTTAACTACTTGTTCTGTGGGCGTGGCTTGGTGGGCATGGTGTGGATTGGTGGGCGTGGCAAGGGAAGGATACTGCAAAATCTCCATTCCCAGCCCATTCCAGAGGAAGGATACTGCAAAATCCCAATTCCCACCCACTTCTGGGGGGAAGTATATTGCAAAATCTCTATTCCCACCCCACTCTGGGGCCAGCCAGAGGTGGTATTTGCCGGTTCTCTGAACTACTCAAAATTTCTGCTACCAGTTCCCCAAACTGCTCAAAATTTCCACTACCAGTTCTCCAGAACCTCTCAGAACCTGCTGGATTTCATCCCTGGCCCAAGCTCAGAGATGAGACAGAAAGGTCCAATTGAGTTCAATCGTTTACTTGCTTATACCCGATGAACAGAACCTTGCCAAACTAAAGCTATAACTTTCTGACTACTAGATATTTCTTGACAGATTCTAAGGTGGCTACATTGAACCTGTTTGCCCTTCCCACATCCATCTCGGAACTGTGTGGCCTCTTACTCTGGGCCCCTTTCTGGGAAAGCTCCATGTTGCCAAATCCCTCCCCCTTTGCTCCTCCAGGTGCACGTTCCATCACAGAAGAGTTCCATATCAGTTTCTAATCCTGAATTAAGTAGATTGTCGTTATGATGGCAGTTACTTCTAAGGCAGTGGGTCTCAACCTTCCTAATGCCGCGACCCTTTAATACAGTTCCTCATGTTGTGGTGACCCCCAACCATAAAATTATTCCTAAAACCATTGAAAATATGTGTTTTCGGATGGTCTTAGGCGACCCCTGTGAAAGGGTCGTTCGACCCCCAAAGGGGTCCCGACCCACAGGTTGAGAACTACTGTTCTAAGGGATCGTGTGGAGCCCACTCATTTTGAGCTCTGCCCTGCCTTAAATGACTAATGAATCAAACCTGAACATTGAGATATTTATTTCCTCAGGGCTGGGTAGCAAACAGTAGTGACAAGAAGTCCGCCTTGCCTTCCTCAATGGTTCCTGCTGATTTTGCAGATTCGAAAAATTGGACATCACCCCCAAGAGTGCCCAGAAGCTAAAGCCCGTGCTGGAGAAGTGGCTGAGTGAAGCTGAGCTTCGGAATCAGGAAGGCCAGCAGAACCTGATGGAGTTTGTGGGTGGGGAGCCTTCCAAGAAGCGGAAACGCCGCACTTCTTTCACCCCGCAGGCCATTGAGGCCCTCAACGCCTATTTTGAGAAAAACACCCTCCCTACCGGCCATGAAATCACCGAGATCGCCAAGGAGCTCAATTATGACCGGGAAGTGGTCCGGGTTTGGTTCTGCAACCGGCGACAGACACTCAAAAACACCAGCAAACTCAACGTCTTTCAGATCCCTTGAGGGCTGGAGCTCAAAGTGAGAATCTCCCTTTCCCTACCTGGCTGCCGTGAGCACTTTGTGGCTAAGTCTCCCCTGCCCCTGCCACCTGTTTATAGTGATGACTGAAGTGAAAGAGGGGAGATCTCCTCGTGTTTTATTGTGCCCCAGCCTGCTGCTTCCTTCCTCTCTGACGTTGCACCGAGCTGTGAAGGCTTAGGAGTCCATTGGCGTTTAACTTCCTTCTGTGTCAGACAAATCATGGTCAGTTAAAAGGAAAAAGGTTCTCCTCGCCTAGTTTGTGTGCATTTTTTTCTTTTTTTGAAGGTGGCATTAGGATTGCCACCAGCATAGCATCCACCAGGAACGATGGGGAAAACCCTGTTTTATTTGAGCCACTTTTCACAGCGATTTCCTATCCAGCAACAAAATCTGCTAATCGTATCCAAGCAGAACTGTGGCATAATTTATATCTCCCTTTCTATATGGATATTACTGTGATGACAGAGCACTATTAAACTGAAAGCTTGTTTTTTTTTCACCTACCAAAATCTTGAACTTTAGTATCCTGGTTCCCTGTTGATTCTTTTATTTTAAGACTGATTTGCCAGTTAAAGAATCCCTTCCAGGAGACTGCTGAGGAGAAGAAAAAGGAGGCAGGTGCAATTGTTTATATCTTGGGATATTGTATGTCTCTTGGCAATCTCATGCCAGCAGAGCACCACTACAAGTAATAAGTAGTCCTGGGCCTAGTTTACTGCAGGGGCAAGGAGGATCTAGCCAAGCAGGAACAAGAGAGGAACACAGAAAACTGCCTTACACTGATCCATCTGTTGTATTAATGTCAGCTTTGCCTAGCTTTAACTCAACCTAGAGTTTTTAAGCAGTTTGTCCAACGCTACCTGGCAATATAGGTAGTCCTCGTTTAGTGGCTGTTTGCACTTACAACAGTGATGAAAAATCAGCTTTACAACTCTACTTTTACACTTACCCCCTTTACAACAGTCATGATTTCACTTAAGCAAGTGTTTTGCTCAACAATAGAGTTGGTGGTTCCAGTCATGTCTAAATGTCTAAACTATCTGTACCAGGGATTCAGCTGGGAACCCTCCTGCCTATAGGTGGTTCTCGACTTAGGATCACAATTGAGCCCAAAATTTCTGTTGCTAAGCGAGACAGTTGTTAAGTGAGCTTTGTCCCATTTTATGGACTTTCTTGCCACAGCTTTTAAGTGGATCACTGCCGTTATTAAGTTAGTACACAGTTGTTAGGTGAATCTGGCTTCCCCATTGATTTGGCTTATCCAGTAGGACGTAAAAGGGGATCACATGACCTTGGGGACACAGCAGCTGTCGTAGCTTATGAGCCAGTTGCCAAGCATCTCAATTTTGATCACATGATCATGGGGATGCTGGAAAGGTCATAACTGAAAAATGATCATAAGTCATTTTTTTCAGTGCCGCTGTAACTGAGCGGTCACTAAACGAACTGTGGTAAATCAAGGATTACCTGTATAAGGCTAGTATTCTACCACTGAGCCCCTTCTTTGCAGTGAAGAAACCCTCTGATGATGGCTTTCCAAAATCCAGCAAGGTTGTTGGCTGTTCAGCCCCTTGAGCAGATGGTCCTGATTTGGAACAAATCAGAGCTTAGAGGACTAGGACAGGTGGGAGTCACGGCAGGCACCTGGCCTTCTTCTAGCAGTACTTGAAGTTCTTGCTTCATGGAAGGGCTCCATTGAAAAGAATATAAAAATGCTATCTTCTATACAGTAAAGCTATTGATTAAAGAGGGTGGGAGGAATATGGCTGTGTCCTTGAAATGGGGTTATGTCAGCCTCACTTGGTAGACCAGATGGGGAAATCAACTCTATAGAAAAACCAGAATTAACTTTATTGAGATTGGCTACTATAAAAATAAACTTGCAAGTCCAATTGTGTTGTACCTTCCTCCCCACCATACTACAGTACAGTACTACAGTACAGTACCGTACCCATTGTACTTACAGTAGTGGCCAAAATTGTGGAAACCTTTTGGGAAAAAGGGCATTGTCTTACCTTAATGCCCGTTCTGCTGAGCAGAGGGGCCAGCAGTCAGGAATGGGTTAACTCTGTCATCTGTCCCGGACTGAGTCTGCAATCTGTTAAACTCCTCCTCTTCCTCCTGCTTCCCAGATTTCCAACGAAGGAGATGCTGCAGACTGGTGAGCTGAGCTGAAAATAGATCATTAGCAATATGTCCCACCCCCACCCCCCCACGGCAAGGGCCAGAAAGGAAAAAGCGGAGCTGACTGCTGGCCCTGTACTCAGCAGAACGGGTGTTCAGTTAAGGCAACGCCCTTTCTACTGGAGCGTGAGGCCAGCAGTCAGGAATGGGACATGCCAAAGCAGACCTCCTATTGGGTGGGGACCGACCAGACCGAAGCTGTCCCCCCGAATGGACCTGTTGTAAAACCCGGCGGCCATATGCCGCCTCCGCCTCCGCATAGACGTCCAACTTATAATGGCGGATGAACGGGGAAGGAGACGACCAGGTGGCCGCCCGACAAACGTCCTCTAAGGAGGCCTGAGTGGACCAAGCCACAGAAGTTGAAGCGCTGCGAGTCGAGTGGGCCGTAATCCCTCGAGGGACTGTCAGAGCCTGAACCCTGTCGCCTGTGGCAATAGTTGCCCGAAGCCAGCGACCAATGGTGGAGGAAGTGACCTTATGTTCCAAGGACGCCGGCTGAAGGACACGAAGAGACTCTCCGAACGCCTGATAGAGGCGGTCCGTTTAAGGTAAATACAGAGAGCCCTACGGAAGTCCAAGGTATGCCAGATACATTCTAAACGATGGGCCGCATTTGTACAAAATTGGGAAGTACCAATTCCTGGGACCTGTGGAATGGGGTATTGACCTTTGGGATGAACGTGGTGTCCAACCGCAGGATCACTTGGTCAATGTGAAATATACAGAGGTCAGCCCTCGTAGAGAGCGCGGCCAACTCCGAGATCCAGCAGGCCGAAGTGATGGCGACCAAGAACGCCACCTTATAGGAAAGGAAATGGAGACCCACCTTCCGCAGGGCTCAAAGGGGCCCCGAGTGAGCACATTGAGTACTTTAGGAAGGTCCCAGGTGGAGTATACCTATGAATGATGGGGGGGCGGAGGTTTGTGGCCTCCCTGAGGAATTGCCGGATAAGCAGAAGCCTGGAGAGGGACCCCGAGAACCCACAAGATAAAAACGGAAGAGAGGGTACCTACCTGTCTCCGCAGGGTGTTGGGCGACAAACCTGACACCAGGCCAGCCTGCAGGAACTCCAGGACGTGTTCCGTGGACGCCTCAGTGGGGACCAGGTTCCATCTGTCACACCAGCCATAGAAGGAGGACCAGGTCGAGTGGTAAATACGGTTGGTGGAGGCCCAACGTAATGCTTGTAATGTAGTTATGACTCCCGGAGAAAGGTTGCAGCCCCGTAAGATCTGCCACTCAACCTCCAGGCGATTAGCTTGAGCCAGCCGACGTCTGGGAGGAGCAACGAGGCCTGACTGAGGGCCAGCCAGTCCCGGCAAGGCCGCCGGGGGGGGGGCACCGACAAGGCCACCAGGTCCGCAAACCAGGGGCAACGCAGCCAATGTGGGGCGATCAAGATCGGCTCCGCCGTCTCGTCCAGCATCTTGCGGATGACCCTGGAGATCACTGCCAGAGGTGAAAAGGCGTAAAGAAGGCCCCGAGGCCAAGGGGTCCGCAGGGCATCCATGCCCTCGGCCCCCAGTGTCGGGAACCATGAGAAGAACCTGTCCATCTGGTTGGTGTTGGAGACGAAGAGATAGACTGCTGGAGTGCCGAACCAAGAGGCGATGTCCTGGAAGATGGAGGGATGCAGGCACCACTCCCCTTCGTCCACCGTGGCCCTGCTGAGCAGATCCGTCTGCACGTTCGCTGTCCCGGAGATGTGGGCGGCACAGATGGATCTCAAGTGTCTCCCCACCCAGAGGCCCAGGCGCTCGGCTTCCCGCATCAGACGCCAGGAGTGGGTACCCCCCAGGCGGTTCACATGAGCCTTTGAAGCCACGTCCGTTCTGACTAGAATGTGATGGTCCTGTACCGTGCCCTGGAATGCCTTCAGGGCCAGGTGGATGGCCCCTAGCTCCAGCCAGTTTATGCTGTTGGCTAAGTAGGTTTGAGACCACCGACCCTGGGCAAAATCCGAGCCCAGGTGGGCTCCCTAGCCATAAAGGCTGGCATCTGTTGTTAGGACCAGACAGTGAGGCTCCTTGAAACCCCACCCCTTGCTTAGGGCCAGGGAGGACCACCAGCGAAGAGAGAGGCAGACTTTGGGGGGGAAGCCGAATCATGTGAATGGAGGAGCTCCTGTGAGCTTGTTGATACAGAAGAAGGAGCCATTGCAGAGCCCTGCAATAGAGACATGCCCACGGAACGATGCCAATGCATGACACCATCTTTCTGAGGAGCTGTGAAAACAACCGGAACGGGCCGGCCCGATGTCACCATCCCGACCAGTGACCGCAGGCTAGTCAGGCGCTTCTGGGAAAGATAGACCTTGCTCTGGACCGTATCTATCACCGCCCTGAGGTGCTGAATGCAGGTCATCGGAACCAGGTGGCTTTTGGCCATGTTGATGGAAAACCTGTGGCTGCACAGGACCCAAATGGTGGTCTCCAGGTCCTGTCGCGCTAGTCGCTCCGAACTGGACTGGAAAAGGAGGTCGTCCATATAGAACTGAATCCTTATCAGCAGAGTCCGGAGGTGGCCCGCTAGCGCCACCATCAATTTGGTAAACACCCAGGGAGCCGTGGAGAGGCCGAAAGGGAGAGCCCTGTACTGGTAGTGACGAGCTGCATGGCAGAAACAGAGAATTCCAGGGAGAGGCCCAACCTGACCATCTCCCTGACCCAATCCTCCGAGGAAGATGCCTCCCACTGGCTGACAAAAAGAGCCAGGCAGCCTCCGATGGGAGGGCCGGACGAGCAGTCAACGGGACCTGCGAAAGGGATGACCCCGCCCCCCACGAAAGGGTCTATGGGTCTGGCCTCTTTGCCTGAATCCGTCCTGCCTATTGTGGGATCTGTCCTGGCGGGAGGAGAAATATCTCTGAGCCCTGGAGCCGGAAAAGCCGAAGGCTGAACCTCTAAAGAGTCGAAAGGAAGAAGACGGGCGGGATTCCCCCCTCCTGGACAAGGATGGGAGAATCTTACGTTTATCTTTGGATTCAATGAGAAGGGGTTCTAGAGGAGCTCCAAAGAGCCTGTCCCCCTAGTACGGAGAGTCTGGCAACCGCCATTTATTTTTGGCATCCACCTGCCATTGGCAAAGCCAAAGGAGAAGGCGGGATGTAATGTTAGAGCCGATAGCCTTGGCGGCGAACCTGGAGGCATTCAAAGTGGCGTCCACCGAGTACTCCAGGGCAGCCACGATTTTATTCACATCCTGGTAAGCCCTGGTATCAGATACCAGCAAGCGGTCCTGCAGTTGTTTAATCCACATGAGAATGGCCCTATTAAAGAAGGAAGCGGCTGAAGAAGCCTTAATGCCCCAAGCCGCTGCCTGATGGGCTTTGGTGAGAGAGTGTTCTAACCTCTTGTCCTTGGGACGAAGACCCTCCTCAGGAGGACCTGTGAGAACAGCTGGGGTTGCGAGAGCGACCACTGGGGGGGTCCACTGCAGGAACCTGCAGAATAGAAGAGATGTCAGAAGCCATATTATACAGACGTCTGTCCAATGCATTAGGATTAGGGCCGGACACAGGTTGACCACTGCCGCATGACAACGTCCTTGAACATCTTTGGGCCAGGAATTTCCTCCACCTCGAACGCTGGCTCCTCAAACAAGGAAATGGAGGGACCCACGGCTTCACCAGGTGGGCCCTGTTTAGGATGAGGAAGGCCCAGTCAGGTGGTGAGTTTGGCCTTGTGAAGGAGAGATCTGAAGACCTGAGGCTTGAACAGACCGACAAATGATGGCTGATCTGGGGCCAGATCCTCATCACCCGACAACCCTGGTTCCCCGAGGTCATCCCCAGCAGCAGAAACCTGATTAGAAGAAGCCCTAACATAGTCATGGTCCAGGTCCACCGAGCCTTGCGAAAGTAGAAGGTCCCCTTGAGCCCTGGCCTGCTCTGTTACCCATGAACTAGTTCTGCGCTGCATCTCCTCAGCAATGCCCCGCTGGACAGCAGCCTGAATAAGGGTAGCCAAGTCAGGAGCAGTGGGGGGGGGGAACCCCAGCCCCCTGCGGTGGGACCCCTGCCAGTGGAATGGGGGCCTCTGAAGGAAGCTGGGAGGCAACCAGGTCCTGAGAAATAACTTGGGCAGCCTGAACCGGTTGGGTGGATTGGGCCCCCAGGCGGTCCTCAGCGGGATCAGGTGTGAGCCCTTCGCGCTGGAAAGAGGAGCTCAACCAGATCCCTGGGAGCCTTCCAGAAGCTGAAAAGCTGGAAACAAATATTTTTCAAAAACAGATTGGAGCGAAAACCCTGCAAAAGCAGTCAGAAAGGGACAGCTCAGCGAAGTCTGTCCAAACAGATCCACTGAGTCTGAAATCTGGGAAGCAGGAGGAAAAGGAGGAGTTTAACAGATTGCAGACTCAGTCCAGGACAGATGACAGAGTTAACCCATTCCTGAGTGCTGGCCCCACGCTCCAGTAGAAGTGTATTTTCTAAAACTAGCTAATAATGTCACATTTTTTGTAGTAGTACCATAAAATTATATATCAATGGAAAGATAAATTAATCAAGAATGTAATGCAATAACTTCTATGAAGGATTTGATATTAGAATAGCACTTACAGTTTAAAGAAGAAACGTGAAACACGTAGAAAAAATGAGATATACAAAAATTATCACCATAGAAAAAACGAGATGTACAAAAATTATCACCATGTCAGTTAATAGTTGGGTAACCTTTAGCAGAATTACGGCCTTACAACATCTTCCCATGGAGTGAACCAAGTCTTTTAGTTCTGCAGCTGTTCTAATGTTAAACCAAGATTGAGTGATAGCTTTTATTAACTGAGTTTTATTGCTGGGTCGCTTCTGACTAACAAGTTTCTTTAGTCGGCTCCATAGATTTTCAATTGGGTTAAGGTCTGGGCTATTCCCAGGCCATTCCAGCAGTGGAATATGATTACCTTGAAACTCGAAAAAAAAAAAAAGTGGTGTTATTAACCATCAAACCTCAAAAATACACTATTCCCAAAAGGTTTCCACAATTTTGGCCACTACTGTATGTTCCAGTACATCAGAGGCTACTTCCTAATACTTCTCAGATCTTAAAAGATATTTCAGCCCCCTCTGCTAAGGCAAGAGTTTTTACTTATTTCTTTCAAGGTCATATTCCCAATTCTCTACACAGGTATCGACAAAAATTAAAACAGCGTTTAAAACCTGAGTTAATCTTGCCCTGTTGAATCCCTCAGTCTGGTTTCCCTCCTGCCTCCCCAGCGTTTTTGAGACAATTCAACACCTTTAACTTTTAAAAAATACATGAACGGAATTGCACACTAGCACAGAGCTCATTTCTTAGGGAGAAACAATCATTTTTTCTCTTTTTTAGTAGTGATCTTGCATCAAGAAAGAAGACTGCTGAGGAGTAATTCATGACACAAAGCCCTTCCAATACATGCACAATTGATGTGGCATTACAGATAATGCAAAAATTGTATTATTACTTATTGTGCATGTAAAAAGTAAGTGTCTGGGGAGGTCTGTTAAAGAAAAAACAAAAATGATTCTTTTATTCAACATTGCATTAAATAAAGTCATGTTTTTTCCTACCAGAACCGAAGTTCTTTTTTTTTTTTCTGAAAGGGATATGTGTTCTCCACTTCACTCTTCCAAAAAAAAAATATTTTTTTTTGCAAAACACCTGTTTTTTGTTTTTGTTTTTAATTTAAATCACTCAATTTGGGAATATTAAGGTGAAGGAAGGGATGTAAAAAGTTGCATTCAGCAAGCTGCGGTTTTGATTGCCTTAAAAGTAATATTTTAAGTTTATATTAAAAAGGATTGTCAAAATCAAATTTTGAAAGCGGGATTTAAATTTTTTTTCAAATTCGTTTACCTCCTGCAGATTTTTGAAATTTTTACCTCTAACACATCTTGACCAAGTTTTAGATTTCTTTGGTATGTGTAAATTGCATGGCAGCTTTATAGTGTGGAAGGACATTCTAGGAAAAAATATAGAACTGGATCTGTTTCAATGAATTTAATCAATATGCAGTCTTTCAATTACTATCTAAGCATATGTTGACAAACCACCATCTTTATTTCATCTCTGCAATCATTTTTCTACATTTGTATCTACAAGGATTTCCCTTCCTATAATTGCATATAAAAATGTGTAGGTTGTCAATAAATAAATTATGGGATTATGATGTGGTGGTAAAGAGTAAAATGGAAGAAGGAAAAAGTGAAGAGAATTTGAACTTTAAAGGAATGTTGAGGGGAGGCACTTTTAAGTTTGCATCTCAATCATGCTTGTCTTTTAAACATTTCAAATGCCAAACAAAGCATAATATAAGCATAATACAAATGTAATATTTCTCCCTCTTCACCTGATACAGCCCACCCATTATCCTTCTGTAATAGTTCCTAGCCCACAGATTATTGCATTGATGTAAAGATTGGTAGAAGTTGCATATACCCTGTTTTCCCCAAAATAAGACATCCCCTGATAATAAGCCCCATTGGGCTTTTGAGCGCATGATAATAAGCCAAGCGCTTTTTTCAGGGTTCAAAAAAATATAAGAAGGGTCTTATTTTCAGGGAAATACGCTACTACAAGGCATAAATACTAGTCTAGACTCCCATTTTTCTGGTTGGAAATTGGAAGAAAATAAAATCTGTTCTTTCAAAGGAATATGTCAAGCCCTCTCTCCAAGAAAGCTAGATTCTCACAACTTCTTTTTTAGTCAGATTCTTTGCAAGGAAAAAATAATAATAGAATCTTGGAAACAGAATGTATACATACATTAACAAACTTTGTGTCAGTAGATACATTATGGAGGGTCCTCCTTGATGCTGTTCACCCTAACTTTCTCTTGATTTCAGGAGGCACTTTTGCTGTCCATTCTTGGTCTGCAGTATTTGGCAAACATCCATTCTTGTTCCTCCGCTCAGAAAATTGCATTGTCTGATAGTAGAAGGTAATTGTTCCCTCCCTCACTTCCTCATGCCAACACCAAGACTGGCGTAATGTATGACGACTCTGAATGCACACTGGGACAATGGTTGGATTCACAACTGCCTCAGCCAAACTTCCGTTTGGTCTTTTTTGATATTGTCAGCGTTGGAAAGAGCTGTGCTGTGAAGCTCTCGGGATGATTGATAGGAACAGATTTCCAGGGCTGCATTGCCGCTATCAGGATCTGAACTCATCAGGTTCTGAAAGAAAATTCAGAAAAATCCCGAGGTCTTTGAGACATCTGCCTGGAGACTATCCAACCGTGGCGAACCTATGGCATGCGTGCCTGAAGTGGCACACGGATCCATGTCGCCTGGCATGTGTGGCGTCGCCCGTTCCTCTTTCGGGTTTCTGGCGCGTATGCGCGCACGACGATCAGCTGGCCATTTTGCATGCGGCAGTGCCGGAAACTAGAAGAGTTGGTCTTCCGTTTTCCTGCATAAGCATATACGGCAGCCAGCTGATCGTCGTGTGTTCATAAGCACCAGAAACCCAGAAGAGTAGCTGGCTGAAACCGGAAGTTCATTTTCAGGTGTGCACATGCGCCCTGGGCAGTTCCTCTTCCGGGTTGCGGCCTCGACAAGTGTGCGGGCACGCTCTCTTTTCAGCACTCGATGCTGAAAAGGTTCGCCATCGCTGCTATAGAACTGCAGCCATTTTATACACTGAGAGTATATAACAGATGATCAAGGAACCAAAAAGAAGCATACAAAGATGCCATAAGTAAATTTCTTCATCTTTCTCTCTCCCATTTCCCCACATACCAATGATCTGATGCAGGTCGCTGGGTTCCCATTGTCAATAGCAAAGAGACAGCAGTATTACAGTCTCTTCCAGGCAATAAGCAAGCTGGTCTTCCAACAGCCACACCGTAGACTTGTCACTAATGGCAGCAGAAATTTGGTGATCCATTTCTTTATGATTCACCCACTATGGGGATCAGCTAGGGCAGGGGTCTGCAACCTTAAACACTCAAAGAGCCATTTGGGCCCATTTCCCACAGAAAATACTGGGAGCCACAAAACCTGAGTGGGCTTGGCCAACTCAACATCACTCACTTCTACCAGTCACATGACACACACACACACATGCCCCCCACCTAGCCACGACTACCCAGTCAGTCAGGGCAGAGAACCGGTTGTTAAAAAACACCGGGAACCACAAAACCCTTTTGACATCTCTTTCTCCCTCCCTCTCCCTCCTCTCTCTCCCTCTCTTCCCCCTTCTCTCTGTGTCTCTCTGTCTCTGTCCCGGCCGCTTCTCCATCCCCCGCCATCCATCCTTATCTTCTCGGGCCAGGCGAGGAGCGACTGGGAGGAGAGGGTGAGGGGCGGAGCCAGCCAGTGGTGGAATCACCTGACAGGGAGCCACAGCAGAGGGCCCAAAGAGCCGCATGTGGCTCTGGAGCCACAGGTTGCTGACATCTGAGCTAGGGCTAGGCAGTGGGAAAAGGATTGTATCTATGGATCTCAAACTCATACATTTTATACTTAAGATACTTTGAGATGAAATTGTTCTGCTCAGCCACCCCAAAGTTCCCTGGGAATAAATTCCACTGGATTCAGTATTGCTCATTTTTAAATTGACATGCTTCAGATTGAGCTATCAAATCTTTGGAGATTTATAATGGGATGGGTAAAAGAGAGATGACAGATTACTATCCACCCCCAAAATACGTCAGGTCAGGAAATGTGCTGCACAAAAAAAATACTAGAATTCTATTTCATTGACCAAGGCCAGAATCTTGAAACCCTGTGAAGGTTTTCCCTTCCCTCAGCTTTATATCAAAATGAGTCAAAGCAGGGTCACTTTACGTTTCTTCACTCTATCTTGTTTTCTGGTCTGAGTTCATGTTTTGCTAACTAACTTGCATGCCTTCTCCAAGGTCATCTCTGCAATTCTCTACAACTACAGTCTTTAATCCGGTTCCTGTGAGTGGTATAGGAAAAAAAGCATTTTTCCCTTTCTTTTCTTTGTAATAGTAATTCCAATATTTACAACTAAATGGCAATACGTTTGAGGTCATCAAAAAAGTACATTTTTATAATTAATAGGAAGCATTCACTGCTACTACAAGAAATGTTTATGGAGACTTTTGCGTTAGGGGAAAAAACACTCAAGCCTTTTCACAGGATGCTCTCTGATTAATTAGCAATTAATAAAAAATAGCCAAGCATTGTATCTTAAAAGCAATAACAAAATGAAACCAGCAGAAACAAAGTTCAATATAGGAAAGAAATATAAAAGGAAGTTCAATTGCTATTCTAACAGAAGCTACGGGTCGGGTAGATGGCAGAAAAGGAAAAATAAATACTTAAAAGTTGTTAGGTTAGGTTCCCCAAAGAGGATTCTAGGAATGGGAAGAAGAGAATAAAGCAGAAAAGTTATTCTTACTCACACCATATCTAATCTCTTGCATTTTTTTTACAAGATTGGATAAATTATATATAGGGCATCAGCTATACAGTACATTTGAGTAGATTAGTCTATATTTAGTAGAGAGCTACAAATACAGGTAGTCCTCGATTTACGACCACAATCGAGCCCAAAATTTCTGTTGCTAAGTGAGACATTTGTTAAGTGAGTTTCACCGCATTTTACAACCTTTCTTGCCACATTTGTTAAATGAATCACTGCTTGTTAAATTGTTAAATTAGCAACACGGTTGTTAAGTGAATCTGGCTTCCCCATTGACTTTGCTTGTCAGAAGGTCGCAAAGGGGGATCGTGTGTGATTCCGGGACAATGCAACTCATCATAAATATGATTCAGTTGCCAAGTGTCTGAATTTTGATCACTAACCATAGGGATGCTGCAACGGTTGTAAATATGAAAGATTAGGTTGGGGAACCTAATATAAAATCTTTTAAATGCTTTTTTCAGTGCTGTTGTAACTTCAAATGGTTACTAAATGAACTTTGTAAGTCAAGGACTGCCTGTATTAGATATTAATGCCTGCAGACTACTCTTTTTGCTAGTCACTATTAAAAAATAGTATTATTTGCTCTGATCCAATAATGTATTTTTTCCATGTGCTATTCTGTATGTTGCTTTTCTGATGCTCTTATTATTGATTATATTTGGCATAATCAATATGGGTGACATAGGGGTAACTACTTGACAAATAAAAACCCCAGAGAAGGCTAATAAATGAGCTGTATTGAGGGAAGAGGGAAGAAGGGAAGATTGCAGTTCCTACCGAAACATTGCACAAAGCACCATGTATTCTCACAACTGGGGAAGAATAAAGGATTGTAAGTGCCACATTTCTGCTGATCGTATCTGATTTGGAACTTTTTGCAACCCAGTTCTCACTGTTTTTTCCCAATACCGTACATATATATCTCCTTTTGCCTTCACCAAGGACTAATGAAGATGGGACCACACTACAACCTGGTGGTGGCAGCATTGTGTCAATGACCATGGAAGAACAAGCTTAAGATTGATGAAGGAGATGCCAAACCGTCAAAGAAAGATCCACATTTGGAAACAAGCCACTTATCTCTCATTTCATCTCACTGACGTTATCGATATAATAGTATAATTGGTGTAACATAAAATTGAGAACTGTGTCTTGCCATAAACTCCATGCCCTCAAGCGAGCAATCCTCTCAGTTTTGGTTCTCTGACTCAAAAGAATTGTTGCAAGGACAAACGTTATCTGATGTGTGCAAAACGCTTTGAACACTTGAAAGCAGCAGTGCTGTTAGGAAAGTTCTGAGCATAAGTCCAGGGGTGTGTTTAGAGAGAACTTTCCTATACATAAGAGCAGCACAAAAGCAACACTTTTCAATAAACATTTCCGAATTTTATCTGTGGTTGGCTCGCACACCTACATCTGAGCTGAATTTCTAACCATCCTTTAGTCAGTTGAAAGTTATGCTGTTGTGAAACCAACTGTCCCATTGCTGATATATATCCACTTCTTTAAGAGAAGATTTAAGAAACCTCCTTCCCAAATAATAGGTGACAAAATCTAACAGATTTCATACGTCTGGAGAGTGCTGTTGGATGTTGTCAAAACAAGCATAAAAAATGCAATCTTACGCCAGTACAGCTAAACACAGCCTAAGGCTGTTTCCTTCTATAGGACGGGGGTGGGACAAAGGCACCGTCATGGCAGAAGAGATTTTATCAGAGCATAAATGCTTTGGTTAGGCATAAATGGGGAAGGGCTCTTCAACAATTTTAAAAGCAACAAAAATCATGGCATGACTTTCTGAAAACTGCACCTCACCAAAAAAGCATATGCCTTTTTCCTCACTTTTTTTTTTTTAAATTCAGAATGAATATTCAATCGCAAATCAAATCAACCAATGATTATGCCAAACAAGCAAGATACACATGAATGGACATGACCCATGGGTACTGCTTGCAAAACAAACAAATAAACTCCCTCCATATAATTTAAATAGGACTTCCTCTCTAGTCTAAAATAATTGTGCCTAAAATTGTAAGCCTTAAGGCTAAGGATGAGCTTTTATTCTTGGAAGTGGTCTCTTCAATCTTGATTCCTGGCGGGTGCCTAGTCAAGTCGCTGCAGTTTCCTAGGCGAGATTTCAAAAGTAGTTTGCCATTGTCTCCTTCCTAATGTTGTTGTTGTTAGTTGCGAAGTCGTGTCCAACCCATAGCGACCCCATGGACAACTTTCCTCCAGGCCTTCCTGTCCTCTACCATCTCCCGGATGCTGACTGCTTGGGCAGAAGTAGAACTCAAGCCTCCTGGTTTCTAAGCAAGTGCCTTTAACAGCTACACCAAACTTGACTTTGGAGTTTTGTTTGGATCGTGTAATTAAACATACTTAAGATCAGTGGTGGGATTCAAATAATTTAACCACCGGTCCTTTGCCCTAATGATTTCTTCCAACAACCAGTTTGCCAAACTGCTCAGAAAGTTAACAACCGGTTCTCCCGAAGTGGTACGAACTGGCGGAATCCCACCACTGCTTAAGATCCACTATACTTGAGGCGCCGTATTTGTATGTTAAATTTAGGGAACTATTCCCAAAGAATCCTCTTCGTCGGACTGTTTTGACTGACTTTCGCCTAATGCAGGATGCCGCTGCCCCATCAACCTCGCCTATTTCCCCGCCCCAACCTTCCATCTACCCTGCCCAGGCTTCTAAAACCAGCACCTAAGGAAAACCTCGGCAAGCTCCGCCCCCTTCTCTTTACTTCATCCCCGCAAGGCTCTGACTCGGCCTGGAAAGCAAGGTGGGGGGAAATGGAACGGAGCTTCACTCTCACGATTCGATTGGACAAGCGGAAGAAGGGGCGGGAAGGAGGGCCCCGATTGGCTTCGGCAGCCGAGGGAGGGGGCGGGGACCGGCGCGGTAGCCCGGCTGGGCTGCTGCATGTAGCGGCGTCTTCATCTTTTTTTTTTTTTCTTTCCCGTCTGCCTCCATGTTGAGTGGATCTCGGGGCTGGGGGAGAGAAGGTGCCTAGTTTGCTTTGGGGGCTGCCGGGCTGGAGGGAAGCCGTTCCCGCGCTCCTTTAGAGCGGGATCTTGCTGTGCTCGGGTTTTTTTTTTTTTTTTTTGCTGGGCTGCAACACTAGAGGAGCCTGGGCAGAATAGGTGCATGCAAAGGCAAGGGTCGGATGGATAGCAATGGTGCTGCCCGGAAGCGTGGGTGGTTTTGGGGCCTCGGGAGTAGGAAGGGTCTTTTTTTTTTTTGCGGGAGTGCCGGCATGGCTGGTAATCCAGATCACCGGGCTGTGGAGACGTGGGTAGGTGGGTGGGACGTGTGATCGATGGGACGCCCTCCTCGTTTTGTGCGTGGCTCTTCTTTGAGTAGAACCGGACAAGATCCGCCGGGGTGGCCGACTTGGGACGGAGAGTTGTCAAAAGAGGTCCCGGTGCCTTTGCTTACTTGGGGTGGGGTGGGGTGGGGGTCTCTCTCTTTTACGGAGGGCTGCGGCCGCTTTGCAATCCAAGAGGAGCGGAAATCTGGAGGAGGGCGATTGGAGAGCAAACCTGGCTCACCGTCCTTACTAAGCCCTTGCAAAAACTTTAAAAAAAAGAGAGAGTTTGTGCGGAGTAAAGGGGGTGTTAGTAGGGCTTGTTTGCAAACACCGCCATAAGGGGCAGCTGCACCTAAGGGGAACTGCATGTGTTGGTGAAGGAAGAGAATGGTTTCCCATGCCTTCTGTATCTTAACTGTTTTTGTTTGTTTATTTGTTTGTTTGTCTTAAAAGAGGTGGTTCTGGAGTGGGCATGGTGGCCGGAGCCCCGACGGCGGCATCCTAGCGTGCCTTGGGAGATTCTGGAAGAGTTGCTTCTCTATCCTTAGCTAGCCAGCTGCTGAAACCTCTTCAAAAATGGCTTGGGCTCTGAAGCTGCCCTTAGCGGATGAAGTCATCGAGTCAGGCCTAGTTCAGGATTTTGATGCCAGCCTTTCTGGCATTGGCCAAGAGCTAGGTGCTGGTGCATATAGTATGAGGTAAGTCATGGAGGTGCTTTTGCCCATTTTTTTTCCCCCAGAGAGCTTTTAACGATGTGGAAATGCTGCACCCAAAAAAGATTGAGCTGGGAATGTTCTGAGTGATGTCACTTGGAGGAGGTGTGGTTAGAGTAAATGCGCTCTAACATCCACCAATCACTACATGACGTCAACAGGGAATGCCATGGGTTCTGCATCCTATAACCAACTGGATCAGATACTTCACACTTGGCTATACAAAGTGTGAAGTATCTGATCTAGTTGGTTATAAGGTGTAGAACCCATGGCATTCCCTGTTGACGCCATGTAGTGATTGGTAGATGTGTGGAAAGTGATTAGTTGCATGCCCTTTAAAATGGTGGGTGAGTTGCACATTGCATTCACGGATGTGCCTCAAAGTTGACCTTGCCAAAATGTTTGTAGCACGATAGGGCTTCTTGTAGTAAAGTGGTCCCCAACCTTTCCAGCTTTGTGGACAGGTGGGGGCGGAGGTATTAGAAGAAATGGTTCTGTGCAAGTAGCAGGTGCGCGTGTATGTAGCTTCATTTGTGCAAGTGGTGGGCAAATGGAGCTGCTTGCATGGCCCTGTTCCAAATGGGCTGTGGCCCATTACTGGACCGGGGATTGGGGACCCCTGTTGTAGTATGTATAGATTTGTAATACGATATTCTAGATGAAAAAATTACCATTTTATATGATGAATAAACTTGGAAACTTTAGTCTTGATTCAAGTTCAGCCTCATATTTGAAGTAATTAAACATATTGGCAATAAATCTGGTTGAAAAAGAAATATTTACTCTTAATTTTGAATGGTTACCTTGTACTTCTTTTCTCAAGATGTCTTAATGCACTCGTAATATATTGCATAGAACAAACTCTTGCTTTAAAAGTATGTACTGGTGAAAGTTTTATGGAGCACATAACAAAGTAAACCTGCTCTTTCCTACATACTTTCATTGCATAAATATCAAAATTAAAATGTTTTGTAACTAAAGGAGTTCTTATTTAATTTAGTATATGGCTTCCTAACTTTTTTGTAAATAGAGGAAACCTGCAGTCCTTCAGGCTATCAGTTTGAGCAAAACTATTTAAAGAAGGGAGAGTATGTCAGCTGTTTTTTTATTATGAACTAATATCCACATTTACCTACATAAATCAGGGTTTTTTTATCCACTTAATTCATATTTATAGGATTTGTTTCCACTGAAAAAACAATCTCAGAGTGAACTAGAATGTTAATATAAAAATGTTAACAGTGAAAAAAGAAGTGAAACCATTAACTGTAAATATAAGAGGAAAAACATAATAAACATAGTGTTAATATTGAATGGTGTGCTAATTTATTGCACCGAATCAAAAGCTTAATGTCCCTTTGATTGTTGGTGTGTTGGTAATAAAACTGTTGTGAATTCAACTACCTCTTGGTTGGATGCATATGTTGTGCTGAGCCATAATATGGTTTGTTTGGTTGAATAAACCATTTATTTTAGGTCAGTAACAATACTGGCTTATAATTCTAAAGTCAATAAGACGACAAGCCATTATTTCAAATTTTGTTTTATTGTTCTAAAAATATAATTCAATTAGTGAATGGGAATGGAAGTTCCGTGTTTATTCCTAGATTTAACTGAACATGTTTGTGCCTTTTTCAAACTATGATTTTGCATTAAGCAAAACTTTTTATTTAAATAAATCCATTATTGTCCCACAAAAAATAAACTGCAGACTTAGAACTCTGTAAGCCTGACATTCCATCTCTCAGTTTTTTGCATTTCTCCAAGGTCAAGTCTTAGGTTGTTGTCATTATCTACCCTGGTTGATTAGATAATTCATGCCATGTACTTGCACTGAATCCAGGAAAAATAAAGATTAAAGTTCCACTCACATAACCTAAAAAAAGGAGTTTCCTAAGAACTAAGGAAGGTGTAAGCATTGTGGTATCTACAGATACCATCCTGGACTTGCATATCTGTAGTTTTACAGCAGAAATCAGGCTGCTTCCAAAATACCATAAAAAGTTCCTGTGTAACTGGTTTATGCCATGTGATATATATGACACTGCCAAGAAGGACATAGACTTTGAAAAAGTCTGATTTTATTACAGTATATGTCCATGTAAGAATTTGCTTTTACAAGTTGGTTTTTAGATTAATAAGTGTAAAGGAAAGTCTTTCAAAATGTATTCCCTTGGAAAAGCTAAACTGTTATGGATTCAGTCTGAAGAAGGAGTACAGCATTGAGAAGATCCATGTTTATTGCAACTATCATTGGATGCCTGCTTTTCAAGAAAGAGAGACCTGCACAATGGAAAAACAAAGATGTTTATAGGGCTACAAGGTGGGAGATCCAGGGATATGACTTGCAAGCTAATTTGGAGTAGCTAGGCAGATTTTTGTTAATGTATTTGGGATGAGTTCTGTTGTTTGGCAAAATGGGCCTTTCAGGAGGGCAGCAGAAGTTCATTGTGAAGGAGATGGAATTTTGAAGTCATTGGTTGATTGAAGATGGAATGATTGCTATGTTGTAGTTTCCTTTTAAGGGCTGCCCTTGTGCTGTACATGAGCTGGTGAGGAAGCTTTTGTTCTTTATTTTGATGGGATTGCAGGGGACAGAAAGGGTCAGATTAGGTCGGATGGGATTAAGCAAAAAGATGAACTGGGGTTGATCTTGATCATGTCCAAAAACAGGGAAGAAAAGGGTGTAACTTCATTTTTGTTTGTTAGGTTTATTTTCTCCATACTAACTTCAAAAAGATAAGTAGGCATCCATAGGACGTGCAAACAGAGGTTTTTTTCTTCTTTGCCAGGGGTGTCAAACTCAAGGCCCATAGGCCGAATCTGGCCCGTGGGGTGCTTAGATCTGGTCCGCAGGGCTGCCCTGGAAACAACGAAGGACCGGCTTTGCCAGTGAAAATGGAGCTCCTGCAGGGGCCTGCAGAATTCCCCCAGCCTCACATGATCCATCACAGGTGCCCCCAACACGAGGGATGTCGAACTGGCTACCCCCCACTCACCCCCGAGGTCAAACACAACCCTGATGCGGCCAATGAAATTGAGTTTGACACCCCTGTTCTATGCTTTTTCTTCAACAAATGTATTAGGGTAACAAAAATGTTAAAATCAAATGCAGTATACTCAAAAGTTTATATACCCTTTTGAATTCTCAATATTTGTGCATAATTATAATCTAAAACATGATCTGTTCTTGACATAAATCCTAAAACTAAATAAGCTTGAACTGAATAAAAACAAATGAGTCAAAAAGGTTTGTTTCTTTATTGAGGAAAATGATCCAAGGCTACATATTTTTAAGTGTTTTGACTCATTGGTTTCATTGGATTTTCTGTTTATCTAATGTAGGACCTTAGTGGAAAATAAATCACCTTTAGGTCATGTTTATGCAGAAACATTAAAAATTCAAACAGGTGCACAAACTGTGAAGTACTACTCTGTATCTCAATGCCACATTATGCATACAGTAGCTATGGAAGAAATAATCAGCAATTTTGGTTAAATCTAGAAGGCAGCTAATAGATAGTGCAATGACTTCAAAATGGTTATTGTTCTACAAGAATAAGAGAATTATAACAAAAACATTAAAACCAACAGACAAAATGAAAGAACTGTAAGAAACTAGGCTGCAATTAAATCTAATAGAAACAAAGAGTTACAGAAGAAGATAAAATTTGCCAAATAGAAGAATTTTGAACATGTAAATAAAATCTGGGAAATTATTAGTTTATTAACTAAAAAAAGAAACTCAAAGAATATTAGTAATTAAAAAAGGATCCAAATTGTTACACTAAAGATCAGAAGTAACAGGAGAATTAGCAGCTTTGCAATAGTGGCAAATATCTGTAGCTCGGGTGTAGAATGAGTGTGAGGATTTGTTCTCCAAGCTTGTGGATTGGTTTCCAAACGTTTCGTTACCAGGTTAGGTAACATCTTCAGCTATTCTAACTCTCACCCTCAATTAGCAGCTTTCTTTGAAGAATTGTGCTCTAAGAGCAGTATTGATGGAATTGCTATAAGTAAATACAGTATATCAAGAAGTTGTTCATCAAATAATACAATGACCAATGTAGGCAAATATTAACTACACCTATAGCTGTTCAAAAAACAAAAACTGCAGTGAAACAAATTGCGAAAAACACCAGACTCACATGGGCTGATAGTTCTTGTTTGAATTCTTTATAATACTGAGCTATCAGAATATTTGCAAATATAATAATTTTTTTAAAAAATTTGATTTATATGCCGCCCTTCTCCGGAGACTCAGGGCGGCTTACAATGTGTTAAGCAATAGCCTTCATACTTTTGTATATTTTATACAAAGTCATCTTATTGCCCCCACAAACTGGGTCCTCATTTTACCTACCTTAGAAAGGATGGAAGGCTGAGTCAACCTTGAGCCTGGTGAGATTTGAACTTACAGTAATTGCAGACAGCTGGTGTTAATCACAATGCTTTTAGTCTGCTGAGCCACCAGGCTCTGCAAATTCCTTAACACTGCGTCAAGATAATGATTGTTTCTAATTATCTTATTACTGTTTTTGAGTTCTTAAGATCCAGGGCCATGCAGTCCTCAATTTACCTACTTTAGAAAGGATGGAAGGCTGAGTCAACCTTGAGCCTGGTGAGATTTGAATTTACAGTAATTGCAGACAGCTTGATGTTAATAACAGTGCTTTAGTCTGCTGCGCCACCAGGCTTCTTAAAATTAAAGAAACAAAGGTAATACCTCCAACATGGAGATGGTGGGAGCTCATATAGTTCTGATTTATAAAGAAGGAAATTACCCTGAGAAACCACAGTCATTCAATAGACCAATTTTATTGTTACATACAAGATTAGGTTATAAGTTTTTCCCTACAATATTAACTGATAGACTGAAGAAATGTATGTCAGGCATTATACAGAGTGACCAAATTGGTTTCGTTCCTAAAGAAAAATATAAAGGACAACAGAAGAGCCATAATCAATACCACAGAACCTATGAA